CCTAAGGGAAAGTCCATTGGGGTAACCCACTTTTATGGGAGAGGAATGACCTAACAGACCACCACGCTCGACATTTAACCAACCGACTGGTCTGTTGGGTGGGTGGTTCGGCTTGAGACTAAATCTTTTTGGAAAAAAATTCAAAATTATTTTTTATTAATTATTAATCGATTATTCTGTATCTTTAACAGATGCGAGGACAATTGATTAAAAGGAATATTAGAGAGATAATTTGCCAGAAATTATCTAACCACTCTTTTTAATTAATGGGTGATTATCTTCTTAATTATCGTAACTTATTCCCAGCGAAAGAGAAATATTATATGGGTCTCAGCTCCTATAAATAGCCAAACCTTCAGACCCTCTAAACAAACCTTCGAAGAGCAGAAACATGAGAGAGAGTGAGTTTAGATTCGATACCCACTCACTAATATAAAGAATAACATCCATTTGTGTCATGATTGTTATTGGTGTGTTGAACAATCTCGTGGTACACAAAATGGATGTTAAAATGACCTTTCTGAATGGTGATTGAGACGAAGAAATTAACATGGAGCAACCTGAAGGGTTTGTCATTCTTGAACATGCTTTGAAAGTCTGTAAGTTAGACAAATCATTGTATGGTTTGAAACAGGCTCCAAAACAGTGGCATGAGAAGTTTGACAATCTGGTTCTCTCACATGGCTTTAGAGTGAATGAAAGTGACAATACCAAAATTATGGATTGGTTCCTTGCCCATTTCCGATCGCAGATCCACCCGCCGGTTACAGGCGGGGATGTCGATGGTCTCGCATGGATGCCATATGGAGGAGAGGACTAACGATAATGAGATCTGTTCAGAGAAAGGAGTTGAAAAAGGATGGGGTGGTAGAACAAACAGGGATGCTCTACATAAAGGAGTCAAATAAGAATGGAGAGGAAGAACAAATAGGGGAGCTCTACAATGTGTCCCGACAATCTCTGTATCTCATAGGGATGCTTGCGACGACGAACAAGAAGAACACAGAAGGGTGTATTCCCTTTTCCTTTGTCTTTGCTTTTGTCACATAGGGGTGGTCTTGTCCAGTCAGTGTGAGTTTAGGTATGTTTTTTGTCTTTCTGCTTCAGATCAAGCCTCTTGATCCATGTATTTTTCCCTTTCTTTCTCCTAATATAGTCATCACCATTATAAAAAAAATGAACAAAGGAGAAAAAAATAAAAATTTGGGGTTTTCATTAAAAACACACATCTCTAAACAAACAAGAAATTTGATACAAATTCTTAATCACAAATATATGTTTTTTTAGTTGAGAAATTTGGACCAAAATCTTTCACAAATCCCTCTAATTAAAATCTTGCATCCAAATCACCCCAAGGGGTATTGGGGCCGGAATTCTGATTCCCACGTGTGTGGGATTTTGGCCCAATTTCTCCACAAAAGTTTTAGGTTGCAAACATGTATTTTTACCCAATTTCTGCGTATAGTGGAAATTTAGATAAAGATCTTCCTATTACAATAACTTATTGAAAATGTGATTTTTTGTAATATTTATTTAAATTTGAAATAATATAAACGTAATAGATCCAAGTTTGTGATCTCCGTTTCACATAGCAGTCAAAATTGAGATATTACGTAAAATCGAAAAGGAGGTAAAATCGAAATCATAAAATCATAGGATTTTAAGTCCTATATAAAAATGATGATGTAATAATATTAATTAGAAAATCATGAATAACACAACAACACATAATAATTACAATGATAATTTCTCAAGTTTAATGTTTCGATTTATCTAGGATAATGTTGGGAAGTGGTTAATCGATGATGATTAATACGTTGATGTGAATTAATGATGGTCGATGGTGGTTAGTGTGCGAGAACTAGATGATGTAGGTGGAGGAGAAGGAAAAGAGGCGTAATTTTGTGAATTTTGGGGGAAAATGTAAAATTGACCCAAAGATTTGAATAGTAAGATTTTAAGGATCTAAATCGTGAATATTGTAGGATTTGAAGGTCCATAGATTTTATAGTGAAATCAGAATCGGAACAAGTAAGTAAAATCATTAAACCGTAGGATTTTAGGATTTAAATCGGGATTTTGACTGCTTTTCGACGTTTCGTCACTGTGTTTAATATATATTATGAAATTTTATTTGTTTAACTTTTTTTTTGGAAAAGTGGCATGTATTCAAAAATTAAACATGTTCAGGAGTTACATTGCCATCAGCTAATAATTGAGGTACTAAGAAAATTGGAGGACGGTTAAACCAAACTTCCGTCTCCTCCGGTCGATAGTGCACTGTCGTCGTCGCGTGAGCGCTTTCATTTCCTTGCCTCCCCCAAAACCTCCATCGTACATTTCCATCCTCCCCAGCCAGCTCCCGAATTTCACCACAAATCCCCCTACTTCCCAAATCGTAGACTCCCTTCGATCCATCTTCTGAATCACCGATTTGCAGTCCATTTCCATGAGCAGTGGCAAGAATTGGTGCGCTTTAGCTAGCCTCAATCCCCAAAGAAAGGCATGTTCTTCCGCCATTTCTGGTGGCCACTTCGTTCTCGTGCGATGCACCGCCGTCATTCGAAACTTCCCTTCCTTGTTATGGATAACCAGTCCGTACCCAGTTCCTTCATCGCCCAAGATCGTCGCGTTCGTGTTCAATTTGAAAGATCTCTGTGGCGGAGGTTCCCAACCTAATTAATTCTTCACAGTAGGGGCCTTTACTCCCTGGGTCTGCATCTGCTGATACTCTTCCACGTAATACTGAGCTCGCATCACCACCTCCCATTCTTCTAGCTTTGCATTATTGAACAAATGGTAGTTTCTCTCTTTCCAGAGAAACCATAGGTTGATTAGCACCACAGTGAGCTCCTCCTTATTTTCCCCCTCAATTAGGTTGCAGAGCCATTCCTCGCAGTTTTTTTCCATCCCTCATCATGAAATACTTCGCCAAATTGCTTGATCTCCAGAATCGACCTACCCAGTCGCAATCCCTAGTTATGTGTTCTTGGATTTCCACCAATCCACAGAAGGGACATTCATCATGTGCCTCTGGGATTCTTCTGCTAAGATTTGCCCCTATAGGTAGAATGTTAATACCCCATCGCCACACAAAAATTCGAACCTTTGGAGGTAATTGAAGCATCCAGAGTTATTTGGGTAACTTAAGAATGACATCCCTCATAATTTAAATGATGAATGTATTTTAGAATTTTTCAAAATATAAAAGTACATATGAAACTAATGTTAAGTTTTTGTTTTTCCACGTTGACACTACCTTAGATGAATTCTTTACTACCTTTATGGTGATTTTCAAGTCACTATGATTTGGAGAAAATGGTCGAGCACTTCCGAAAAAGGATTGACCATATATTATACTATATTGTTGAAACGAGAGAAGCGGTCGACCACTATGATTATATAGTTGACCGCAACCATTATGTGGTCAACCTTATGATAAAAATGGCAACGGAAGTCGGTGTGATGTTTCGAAAGAAACTGGTCAATGACATCATTGTGAGGCCGGTCTTTATACCTCAAGCCAATGCCGTGAAGAGTGCTCTAAAGATGATGAACCTCAGGATTTCACCTGAAAGTAGGGGTGTTCAAATGGTTACCATGGTTATAACCAAACCAAATAAGGCTAAATTCCATTAACCATGGAATACAATATCATAATCAAACCTTCCAAACTAATACAACAACCAAATTAACCAAACTAAAGTTTAATCGGTTTGGTTAATTGGTTAACCAGATTAACCAATATAAAATCACATTATCATTGACGATGAAAATTTTCCGGTTAATGCAACAATTCGCAAGTTATATAATGAATAAAACATAACAATCAACACGTAGTTATAGTTGACCCTTAACAAAAATACATGCAACTAAGACAATTATTTTACGATTAGTATAGAAGTATTCACCTAATAAAAATTTATGACAATGGTATGGGTTAATGAATTGTTCTGTTTGTGTAAATTGACTTAGTCTCTTAGCAATTATCATAGGCTGGAAATTACCTTTCTTTCAAGTTTTCATCCATCATAATGTATGAAATTTATCTAAATTAGGCGTCCATATGTTGTGGTCTACATTTTACATATACAAATATACACTATATGAGCAATATTGAGCTTTATATTTTGTGAGTCTAAAAGGGATGAACGTTAACTATTGAGTGGTTATGCAAAGTATTAAGTATGTGTATCTAATATATGTTAGATATATGACTAATTACTTAACTGGTTAATTTGGTTTGACTGGTTAGGAGTGTCTGAAACCAAACCAAACCACCTAAACCAAACAAGTTAAAAGCTTTAACCAAACCAAACCAATTATCCAAATTAACCAAACCAAATTATCCAAATAGTACTGGTTAAAATGATTACCATGGTAACCAAACCGTTTGAACACCCCTACCTGAAAGGTTAACCAGGCAGTCGATGTGGTCGGCCTGTTAATCTATTGGTAGTGCACGAACAACTAACTTTGATGTTCCAATGTTTTTTCTTCTTCAACAAGCTCCTAAGCCATAAGAATTTGTTTACATGATTTTTAGAGAGATAGAGTGGCACTTTCGATATTTATTTATAAAAGTTTATGTTTATATATGCTGGAAAAGTTCTTGTTGAGTACTGAAACCTTATAGTAATAGAATCATGTTCCAACCCCGATAAGATAATGACCAACCGATTGATCGTTATATTCTCGTTCGACTTGTATATTTCTTTATAACGGTGAAACCCGTCACAATATTGAAACCTTTCCATTGATGGAATCTTGTTCCAAATTTGAAAGGTACTGACCAACCAATGGAACACTTTATTGGAGTGGTCGAGCGTTGTTTTCGTCTGTAATGGTGTAATTCCGTTATAACAAACTAAGTATGTCATCCAATCGGCCATTATCGGAAACAATCGACCATTTGCCACAGAAGTTCGACCATTTTTTGGAAGCAGTCGACTGTTTTTTCTAAGTCATCACAGTAGCAAAGTTAACTATATTGTAACTACCATCATGATGCATTCACTTCGATTTGTCATGTGACAATCTCTTTCAAGAGAAGTGCTTTCCGTGGAATTGTTGTCTTTTATTAATTCATATCAGAATAAATTAGACTACCCCAACTTGTTTCTCAAACCAAATTATACAACCTAAGTTCGTGTCCCAACGCGAGGCAAGCGTGAACGTTCAGTACACACCTGTTCATCAAACTTGGAATTGCAGAAGAACCACCAATACAGAGATCTTGAGTTCCAATTTCTCCTAAAGGAATGCTCCTATCTACAGCGAGTTAGATAATACACTCAAATACCACAACCAACCGTACTTGGTACCCCAACACTAAAGTACATAAGCTAATATAGAAGCTGTAGGAGCCTATACAGCATGATAGTCATTTTAAAGATGAAGGGCCACCTGGTTTCCGAATGGTTCTACTCACTCGTGTTTCGACAAAGCACCGGGAGAACCAACCGGCTGTTGCTGGGTAATGCAGTGTATGTTTCCACCTCCCAAAACAATCTCCCTAGCACCTTCGATTCCAACCACCTGAGAATTGCATATCATTCAAAATTATCAGAGTGCGCAAAAGGACCAAAAACTGAGATCACCATTCTGATTCACAAGTAGGAAAGATGCTTATCTTGTATGTTATATACCAAGTGGACAGAAAAGAAGAAAGAAACAGAAGCATGGGGCTTACTTCACGATTTGGGAATACTACAGACAGGACGCGAATGGCTTCATCATCCCACTTTTTGTCTCCGAATTGTGGTGTAATTATCCCTCCATTGGCAAAATAGAAGTTCACATACGAAGCAGCAAGTCTTGTACCCGAAACTCTTGATTTGCCATCACCATCCTGCTCATGAGATACAAAAAGTTCAAACTTATTAGCTCGCAAATTACAATCTGAATTTCACAATATCGTGAGCACTTGGAGTCTAACTTTAAAGGAGGGTTTTGTTTTTATTCTTACTTGAGCGAACCCATTTCCTTCTTCCTCTGTCATGTAAAGAGGTCCTGGCACATGAAGCTTGATTATCTCTAGCTTCCTCCCCTTAGCATCAGTTGCATTAGACAGCACAGTTAAGGCTTCCACCGATCGTTCAAACTGAGGATCCTTTTCATCGTCAGTCCAAGAAAGCAAAACCACACCAGGTCTTGCAAAGCAGCACATATTGTCTATGTGACCATTTGTATCATCGTCACCTGTTCAAATCATGCCCACCATTACATTTTGAGATAGCAAGTCGTCGGTAAAACATCATCAGCTCATCAATAGAGAGAATATATGGTAGTACGAGAAAGATACAAAAGTTTCTGAAATGTATGTAATAGAAATAACATTACGAGGTAACAGATTAAAAAATACCATATAATCCTCGAGGTAACCAAATAACTTTACGAACTCCCAGATACTCTTTCAGTTCATCTTCTATTTGTCTCTTTGTCAGATCAGGATTCCTATTCTTGTTCAAGAGGCACTCCTCAGTGGTAAGGCATGTCCCTGTACGAATAGAAAAGCAATATCAAATAAATTTGAAAGCCAAAAAGGTGACACATGTGAAACCAACTATCTTCTGATAATACAAGATGCAGAAAATGACACGAGACACAAAAATTATATTAGTAATGCATATTCCCCCATGGTTTCTATGCATTATGCAATCATCTTCGCGGGAAAGAATCATCTAAGCTAAAGTACTTTCAACAAGATAAAGCAGAAGTACTTTGACCTTCTCCATCGACATGGATGCTTCCACCTTCAAGGATCATAGAATGTTGAAATCTTGGACACCTCTCAATTTGAAGAATCTATAATCAAGTTACAACATGAGAACAATTGCCATCAGCAACTGAAGTAATACAAAAGCAACAAGTAACAGAGTTTAAACCTGTTCATCTAATTTCGAGGGGCAAAGAATAAAAGATTATGGTTCACTTACCTTTGATGCCACAGCAGTATCAAGGCTCCAATCTTGGTAACAACCCTCTTCAACTCCTGCAAGTAAAAAGACAATGACCTTTTAGAAGGCTTCCACTCAAGCTAATCACTAGTTAATTTGCTGCAGAAAGTGACCAGTGTAGTAATATACATATATATGAATCAGAGAGATTCAGATGGTTTACCTCCCCAACTATTGAAATTCCAGTCAATGGCTGCAATCACTTGCTCCAAAGAAATGTTGGAATTTGGCGCACCCTTCCTTACAACAAACTGCATTGAGAAACAAAGTTCTTAAGAAAAGATATGTTTAAATTAAATAAAACTTTATCTGTTCGTACCAATCCATCTCTTAGCTGCGACTTACTATTGGGCCAGTATCACGAAACCAGCAATCATTCATACTCATCTCAACAACTCTAATGTTTTCAGGGAGCTGCCTCCTAGCATTTTCCCACTAAACACAGACAAAAAAAAAAAGTTTCAAATTTAATTCAGTAGAAAAGCAAGGTAAATTCTGTATTTCAGAGCAGAGGGTTGAAGAATTAAATCTCGAACCAACCTGTGCAGCACTAGCACAGACAGTCACTGGCTCGAACTTCGAAATTGCAGTTGCCACCTTAGCAAAAATATTTTGACCACGTGCAGCACCATCTCGCCAGTTATCTAGTCGCTCCTGCATTGCATAATGGTTTACTGATCGTTGCAAGTTTCTGACTAATTATCATGAATGTTGGAGCAAGTAACCAATAAAATTAACAGGGGAAAATGGATGCGGAAAAACGACCCTGAAGATGTAACAGTGTTGCAAGTTCCCACCGCTTATACTATTGTAGCAAAGAAAGCACACTGAGATGAATAAATCACTGTTACGTACAGGATGGGGATGGGGACCAAACTAAGTGTGACACTTCAGCCAAAGACGTTTAGGTCAACTACATCACCCTAGAAACTAGGGTTTATTAGATACAAACCCAACAACCTACCATCAATGCAACCTCAATGGACCAAACGAACAGTAAGGAAGGATTAGTATTCTATCATGCTGAACCACAATTCGAAGCCCAATAAAAACTCTATTAAGAAGTACAACAACACTTACAGGCCAACCCATCCAAGTCTGAGAATGAGCCTCCCACTCTGCAGGCATCTTGAATCCATGGAGAGCTGGTGCTCCCTGCAAATCCACCATTTTGACACTCTCTTGCAAGGAAAGTGCTGGACCTAGCAGGAAACAAAGCCGTAATTTGGTAGGGTCGCCAGAAGTGAAATCTGGGCCCAGATAGCAATAGCATGATTGAAGATTATGGCAAACAACATTAAGTCAGTAATACAGATCAGCATTCGGGTTCAACAGACGCAGTAACTTACAGAGGCGGGACAATTTGAGAACCCTAGCAACTTCAATCGAATTGAATTTCCCTCATCATTTTCATAGAAATTACTCGTGTTAGACAGCAAAGGACAACGAAAACCCAATTTGAAATATACAAAGAAATGAAAGCAGCTCGGAACTCAGAATTGTCAAATGGATCGCGAAAAAAAAAAATTTCGAGCCCCGTACAAATTCAGCTTTAGATACCTTGGGCGGTGCAGAGAATGCTGTTCTTGGTGGACGGGCAGCTGGAATCCCGAGGTCCGGAAGAGCAGAGCAGATTGAGCAAGGATGGACGCGATTTTCCCGAGAAGAAACCAACTCGGCCTGCGAATATTTCGTACTAAGAATTTACACTCTGTTTGGGAAGAGGGGTAAATGGGAGGAGGGTGCAAATGTGAGGGGTAAATACAGTTTCCAACACATTTGCACCTGTTTGGTTAATTTGGAACAGTAGGGAGGTGCAAAACGGGAGTGCAAATTTACTGTTTCGGCTTACCCCCCAAATTGGGGTGCAAGGGAAGGAAGGAAGAGAGGGGGAGGGGGAATTATGGAATTTTGTTTTTCTAATTGTGTTATATATAATTATATAATAATTAATATTATCAATTTCTTCTTTTTATAAATATCATTAATGTAAACATTATTCGGGGTTGACCATTTGACTCGGGAAACAAGTTTATCAGTGTTCGTCAAGTCAAATCTAGATCTCTTGGTTGAATCAAATTTGCATTGAAAATTAGAGATACGAGGTGTTTGTGAAAAAGATAGAGAGAAATTGTTTGGTTAACTCAGTTTATTTGAATAAATAGTTAAAACTTACAAATTCGAACGTGTTTGACTAAGTTTGACAATTTTAAATTAAACTAGACACGAAAACCCTATATAGGATGACCAGTTACAAGTTGAGCTTCGAGTTTTGAGATCGCTCGATCAATGATTATACAATTGTCATAATTAATTATTATTTGAGCATTATTATATAATAACTATTTTTAGTAAAGTATATTTATTATTATATAATAATATTTATTTTATTATTTTGTGATAATATTTTAAAATTTTAAAATCTATTTTGTAATCTAAAATTTATTTTTAAAATCTATTTTAAAATAATATAATTACTTACTTTTCACTCTATTTGCACCCCCCTACTTTTTCATCCAAACAACAATTTACCCCTCCACTTACACCCCCCAGCAATTTGCACCCCCCAACAATTTACCCCTCAACTTGCACCCTCCTGCAATTTGCACCCCCCTTGTTGCCAAACAGAGCGTTAGGGAAATCCGATTTTGCTCTGTTAATCAAAAACCCAAATTTGGGGAATCCCGTTGCTGGTTTCAGCTTACGAGTTACGTGATGTTTTACTTTTAAGTCTTTTTTTTTTATTTGATAAGGGTGAAAATGTATTAAAGCGAGAACATTCGATTACAAAGTTTGGTTATTTAATAAAAAAAAATTAGATTTGTCACTAAAATTATAATATTCTACTCGTAGTCATTTAAATTAAGGGTTAATATTTCCGTATGGCCTGAACTTTGACCAAAGTAAACATCCTGGCCAATCTTTTCGATCTATAACATTCTGGCCCGAACTATACACCAAAGTAAACAATTTGGCCAAATCAGACTTTTGACCGTTAACTTGGACGGTCAAACGCGTTGAACGTTAGTCAACGCGCCATGTCACCGCCAACTCAGCAAGTTCAAACAATTTTTTTTTTAATTTACACCTATTCCATTTTCTTTTTATTTATCATTTTGACAAAAAAAAAACAAATTTTTCGGGACAAAACGCCCCACCCCGAGCCCTAACTTGATTCTTCCCCTTCTTCCTCTCCTCTCCTCCTCTCTTCCTCCATTACTTCGTCGAAGCTCCTCCATCGACCGACAAAAATCTCCTGTATTCCGTCCTTTTCTGCCAAAGTCCCCAAATTGTGCTTCCCTCAAATCAATTTCCTCTCAACCATGGCTGCTCCATCTCCCCCAATCCTCCCGATCTCGAATTCCCAAGCCGCCGTCACCACCACCACCACCGTTCATTCCGCCGCCACGTCTGCCCAATCCCAGCCTCCGATCGCCACCCCGGCCTTCCGCTCTTTCATCAACCAAATCTCCGACACCGCCCGCAACGGCCTCTCGCAGCGCCGCCCTTGGGCCGAGCTAGCCGATCGATCCGCCGCCGCCTCCGCCGCCGTCGAAGGTTTGCAGGAGGCGCTGGGCTATTCTATCCTTCTTTTCAACATCGTTGCGGCCGGAATGGAGGAAGAGAGGAAGAGAGGAGAGGAAGAAGAGGAAGAGAGGCGGGTGAATTCGTGGATGGGGATGGGGTCGAGACCTCTCCAATTCTATCCTCTCTAATCCCCTTTCACTCCCGCTGTCGAGACCTCTCCAATTCCCTTCCACTCCCCGCTGCCGAACAGTCCCGCGACCACCGCCACGTTGGTTCAATTTCCCCCTTTTCCCTTCACAATTAGTGTTCAATTTCACAGATTGCAGAATGGGAAAAGAAGTTTGTGTACCAGGCGGAGGAAGGGCGTTGTAGACGTCGTCGCAAAGTGGGTAGCAGACCCCCAAATTAACATAAAAACAAAACCCTAATCGCTAGCTCCACGAAACTTCCATCTCTGTCATCGATTACCACCCTTCTCCCTTCTTCTGGCGGCAGGGGATGTTGGGGAAGCTTAGGCGGCGAGGGAGCGAGAAGGGCAGCGTGGTGGTGGTGGAAGAAGAAACGCGGTGCTGTATCAATTTCATCGACCTCTTCTTCGTCTTCATATTCTTTTTCATCTTCGTCTTCTTTCTCGTGGAGCTCTGGTTGATCCTTGAAGTCCATCCTTTCTCCAGATTCGTCTTCAATTTGTTTTTTTTTCGTTCAAAATGATAAAGGAAAGGAAAATGAAAATAGGTGTAAATTAAAAAAAAAATTAATTTAAAATTGCTGAGTTGGCGGTGACATGGCTCGTTGACTAACGGTCAACGCGTTTGACCGTCCAAGTTAACGGTCAAAAGTCTGATCTGGCCAAATTGTTTACTTTGGTGTATAGTTCGGGCCAGAATGTTATAGATCGAAAAGATTGGTCAGGATGTTTACTTTGGTCAAAGTTCAGGCCATACGAAAATATTAACCCTTAAATTAATTACTAAGTTTGGTTACTCTCCTTCCAACTTCATTAATTTTGTCTGATGTGACAGTCAATTTTTATAGTTGACCGTTAAATGTGTGATGTGACCATTAAAAAATAATAATATTTTAAAGTTTCCACCTAATTATCATACTAATTAAAAAATTATTTTCTCCTAATCCCACATGCTCGACCCAATCCTCTCTCCTATATCCGGAAAAAAAACCTCGCCCCTCAGCCTCCCCGTCAACCTCCCACTCGCCGCCGCCACCAAGTCTGGTCAACTCCCTTATGTCATCTCTGTCATCAACTCCATGCTCTTGGAAGAGCATTTGGAACGTGTTTAAAGTTGATTTAACAAAACTTTCCAAGGTTTTCTTGTGACTGTGGAACTGGTCGTGAATTAACTTCGTCATAAATTGCAATTTGGAGCTAAAAAAATCAATTGACGAAGGCCTCCAAAAGATGATTGGGGGTACCACGATACTTATTGAGGTTTACATAACGTCTTATATAAGTCTGAGGACACTCCCATGAATCTAGCATTCCATATTCATATGTCAATTGTGGTGGTTGTTAGTGTCTTTATTATGTTCTCTTGTGTATATATTGATCTTAATGACCACTTGTGATTTACATTTTTATGTGCCTCTATGATTTAATCAAATATTGTGTTTAAATATGTGGGATGATTCCACTAGAACACCGTAGCCAGAAAAAATGTCATTTGTATATTCAAGTATTCAATATGACAATCCTAGCATAACATATGAGACTTTGTGACATTTGTATGGTGTTTTAATATGTTTCAGGTCAATGAAAGTTTGTTTGATTAATGATTATATTTGGACAAGAAAGACACAAAGTGTTGAAGTTTGGAGCATTAGATAATTTTGAGAGCACTTGGAACATGTTTAAATTTGATTCTACTATACTTTCCAACGATGCCTCACGGTAGGGGTGGCTATACGGTCCGGTCCGGTTAAATTGACCTAAATTGATCCGGTCCAGTCCGGTTTTTTTGAAAATATAAGGACCGAAGATTGGATTGGATACAGTCCGGTCTTGATCCGGTCCGATCTTGACCCGGTCCGGTCCCAATTCGGTCTTGATTTTATATTGAGATTGTGAGAATTTGAGTGGCCTAAGGCCTAAAAGGGTGAGGAGTTGGTTAAGTTTTGTACTAAGTGCAAAGGTTTGTGACCGTTTATGCAAATTACCCTTAAGTTTTGGGTGTTGAGCTCTCTTATCCGGTCTTTATCCGGTTTTTTACCTCAAATCTAAGCCCAAAGATTGGATTGGATTGTCCCGGTCCGGTCTCGGTCCGGGTTATACGGTCCGGTTTCCGGTTTTTCATCCGGTCCCGGCCAAATAGCCAGCCCTACCTCACGGCCATGGAGCTGGTCGTGGCTCAATTCCAACATATTGACAATTTGTAGCTAAAAAATCAATTTACGAAGGTCTGCAAGGCATGCCTACGGCCGTGAGGGTCTCCAAGTGTGTTGATAACACCATATTTACATATGTTTCCCCCGACATTTCTTGATCGTTTTGCTTGACTTTTGATTGCTTTGTGACACATTTTATACTAGGTAGTGCTTGTTGTTGATGTTTCAGTTCCTAGTACGTGAATGGAGGCTTAGGAGCAATTATGGGTGCAACTGGAGAGCAGACGAGATTCGGAGGACAAAGCAACAAAATCCACGGTCTGGGAGTCCAAATCGACGATCGTGGAATCATGGTTTGGACCGTGCTTTTTAGGTAGTAATTTTTCCCGGTCTGGTGTATGCATTCCATGACCAGGGATTTATCTGGGGAGACCGTGGATTTCTGTCGAGGACCACTAATGGGAGATGTGTTGTTTTGGAATTCCACGTTTTGGAGGCTATTTCCACGACCTTGGATTCTGCCCGTGGATTTCAGCCACGAGGCTACTAAGGTGAAACTCAGGTTCTTTGCCACTTGTCTGGTTTTGGAAGTTCTTAAATAGGAAGAAAGAACCCTAGAGAGAGAAAGTGACGAAGAACAACCTTGAGAAGGGATTGGAGCGATCTAAGGACATTGTAGCTCGATCTTTCATCCTTGGAGTTTCAATTTCCAGCTTGGAGCAGATTCTCATCCCTCAAATGATGGTTTCTCCTTCAAGTCTTGTGTTTTCTCTACTCTCCATGGAGTAAACTCTCTTTTCGTCTGGGTATGAAGAATCTTAGTCGTGTATGTTAGGAATGGTTGTATGAACCCGATTTCGTGGATGATTGACTTGATATATTCAATTGAGGTATTATTCAGAATTGCATGAGTCCTGATCAAATTCTTGTGATTCCTGCTTTAACATAGAATTATAGTCTCTGCATAGGTTAATAAAGCAACTGTAATAAGAAGTAGTGAATCGATTACTTAAGTTGAGGAATCGATTCACTACTCTGTACTGGAATTGAAAACCAGTAGTGAAAGTTTGGTGTGTTAGTGCTTCAGTTAGATTATTCTGATGAAGGTTAGTTGCCTGCCGGGTATTCAAACTGAGAGGGTCCATAATTCTTTAGTCGAGATTCCAGACTTGTCAAAAACTTTCCGCAGTATATCTGTCAATTGAAATGAATTTGGAAAATTACAACTTGAACTAACTACAGGCTAGGGGGACACATACCTGGGTGATATTTCTCATACTTGAAACCAGAACATTTATTGCTTTCTGTTTAACTGGATTTTGGACATTTCATTCGAATTCAACTGCTAGATAACATATTTGAACGGAGTGACTAGTAGATCTAGGACTCGGGTTGACAAATAGAATCTGAACAACTATACTGTAGTCCCTATTATTGGTTATACTTGGTCATTGTAAGGAGTTGTATTTTAGCGAGTCATGTTTCCACGGCCTTGGCCGCTCTACCCTGGAGTTGTTCTCCAGTAATTTGCAACACACGCGAAAAGAGGAAAATTTTGATTTTGATTTGGAAACTGCCCATGCGTTGCCCCACGGTCGTGGATGGGGCTCTTTGTTGTCTATTTAAGTGAATTTTAAATTTTTATCGAAGGCACTGCAACCACTTTTGAAGTAAAACCTAAAATAAGTGTAATAAATGAGAAAATAGAGATTTTCTAACAGCTTAACCCCGAAGAAGTCATTTTGGAGTGATTGATGAAGTAATCAATCATGGAGGCCATCTTCTTCATCTTCATTTTGATATCTATTCCCTTTTAACTAAACCTCTTTGTTGTTTGGATGAGATGAACCCTAGCTATGTTTTTTCCCCCTGAATTGATTGGATTGCAATATATATATATGCATGTTTATTTTCCTATGATCTATCCTTAATTTACTTTGCGAGTTTTCAATTGAAGTCGACCTCTTGATTGCTTATATATGTTGTGTGTATGACAAGGAGGGCATCCCGTATGCATAATAGAACACTTTGGGATAGAAGGGATTGATCGGTCTATAGGGTATGGAGGGCGAGTGGCTTCTAGGTTAAGGTCAAACCTAATATGAGAATTCAAAGAATGAGTAATTTTTAGATTAATTGATTTTTGGTCAAAGAGGGTATTGTCAAGAACCACTTGGTCCCAATAACTCTAGTTGTTGGGAGATGTTCAATCATAGATAATGGTATAAGATCCATGACCCCCAATATTAACAGTTGATTAAATCACAAGGTATGATGATTGTCTGTGCAAACTTCAAACCTATGGGTTGGCTTTCGTTTGAGGGGGCGTGTTAGAGAATGATATAAGATCCAGCAGAATATTCTATTGGGATCGACTAGTTCTTGACGGATATCAGATATTGGGTAAATTGATTGAGTATTAATATGCGAGGGTATCCGTTTAATGCTATTTTTGAAATTCCTACGGTATGGGAATAATAGATCATAGTTGGATTGTGCCTGGTTGATTCTTGACAACTAGCTAGGGGATTGAATATGAACAACGCCTTATATGCTTGGGTTTATATTAGTCAAATTATCAATTATGTAGTAATTTTTTTCTTTAGTAGTTAATTTATGAGTTAAAAATTACTAAAAGAATCGATTAAATATGAGAAAATATAACTAATTAGTAGTAGTCATCGTCTCTGTGAGATACGACTTTACTTGATATTATATTGCTATTTTTTATATAGATATATTGCTATTAACACCCGTACACTTGTTTTAAATAATCGTACTTGAATACAAGATAGATCATGGATCATCTACCGTCAATTTGCAGTTTTCCCACCCAAATCCGTCAATTTGCAGTTGGTTAATGATGTTCTTCTACCAAAATGAAAGGTTGGGCTTCCTAGTAAGTGTGGGCTCGATCTTGAAATTAGAATACTATAAAAAATATACACAAATAAGATTTAGAGGGAAATTTCCTGGTTTGACTAAAGTGACTGTTTCAATGGGGGTTTTACCAAAGAGAGCATTTTGGTCCCGAAAAAGAATAACTTAAGAATATTTTCTGGTTTCTTATTGATGTGTTATGGGCAAGTGCATTATATTCAGTACATCCCGAATCCTGTCAGACCTGTGATATGCATTTTTTAATTTTTAGCTTCATGTGTTTGAAGATCATACGTGTGCAAGACAATTCGTTTTTTTTGCTTCCCAAAATATGGCAAATATTTTTTTAAAATTCCCGCAATGTGGATATCTCTAATGATATATAATTTTTTGTTTGTCTCCTGATGCTCTATCTCAAAATCTCTCTCTCAATTATCTCTCAGGTTCGTGTTCGTGTTCATATCTAATGATATATAATTTTTTGTTTGTCTCATGATGCTCTATCTCAAAATCTCTCTCTCAATTATCTCTCATGTTCGTGTTCGTGTTCATATGGACAAATTTGAAAAAAATTAAAGTAGCCTCATATGTGACTGATCACTTTGTTAAATTCTTTTTCCAATCAGAAAAATGTGCTTCATTGAGTGGTATTGAATTAAATCGTTGTGTTGATGCTCTATCTCAAAATCTCTCACTCAGTTATCTCTCATGTTCGTGTTCGTGCTCATATGGACAAATTTGAAAAAAATTAAAGTAGCCTCATATGATTAAATCGTTGTGTTTATGTTTCTCTTCTTGTCCTGGCTGCTATCTATTATTGTATGAGTTTTTGGTAGCTATTGCCGTTCCAATTATCTTCACAAGCAACCAAACCCACATGCATACATACAAAATAACATATAATAGTAGTTTTAACTTTCATTGTACTAATTCTCACATGGTCTTTTTTTACCCTTTTTTTAAAATTTTTGCTGTGATAGGAGATTTTGTTCTGCATTGGAATGGGGTGGAATCAGTTGCTCATATTGGTGTTGACAAAAATGTCAGACATAGTTGCTGCTTCTCTTGCGGTGGATAACTTTGCTTCTTGAACCATCTGCTTGGTCATGTTATGCCTGTTCATTGCTCACCAATTTGTTAATCCTAAAACAAACAAGAGTAGTTGCTTCTTTTGATCAGCTTCAAAAGACTGGACAAGAAGCACTAAATACGCAGCGCAATAAGCCAAATTCCTCTTTATTACAGCTTGAAGAAGAAATTAAATATTGTTCTTTTTTCAATTGTCCTAGGAAATAAAATCCTGGCTTTTCCTTTGGCCAGCAGCTGATCAGGCACTAGTGACTTCAGTTTGCAGTACATGAGCCACTGTACGTACAACTTAGCGCATTCACTCCCATTAGCTGCATCTTCGTTTGCTAATGCAGTTGTAGCCTGCTGCACCAATACAATTTGTGGAAACTGCTTAGTGCCGATGGATCGAGAGCAGAATATAACTGCAAATAATGGAATTGTTCATACAAATTACATTAGTTTACCCTAATTTTGTGGTTCTTGGTGGTGTAAGATCACGACGATCTTCGTCTTGTGGCTGGCTGAGCTGGAGACGTACTGGCACATCTGAATCCTCCTGGATGGTCAGGCCATTGATGAGCAGGGAGTTTCTGTTCGCTTCTCTCGCCCCGTAAACCTGCAGAGTTAAAAATGGCTGTGAAAATGCTGACAGGAGACATGTCCCACGGCGATCTGAAATCGATTTTGAGCAATAGGTATGTATGTCTAAAAGCCTATACCTTTTTGTGTAATTCCACGTTTTCCTTTCGTAGTAGGGTTACCTTCTTATAGAGCTCCACATTTTCCTGGTGGATGAGGTTACCCTGCAGCAGTACTTGTTGTAGAGTGGATTAGATTGTGAAACGAGCAAAGGGTCGAATTTGGGTGCTGAGAGTATTCATCATTCACCTTTCTGTTTAATTCTTGCACTTGGTCCACTAGGACTTGGTCCTAAGGAAGACCAAAATACCAATTATCAGTTAGTCAGACTAAACACGCAGTACACCTGATCATGTCACAGTGTGATCAGTGCTTAGGCATCGAACCTTTTTCATCCGAACACCTCTCAGGCTCATCTCCAATTGGGTTTCTAAATTCTGTAAATCCTTTATACCCAAGCCTGAAAGCTCTTCACCCATCATTTGCCTGTTAATTATATGTACATGCAAAAAATCAATTCCCTAAAAAAAATGCTTTATTTTCACCTTGCTGCCACTCTCAACTGCTACTATCATATCATATCAGATTGTTAATATTTCCCAAGTGGCGAAAGGGAAAGGTTCATACCTGTGGTTTTCTTGCAAGCTCTGTAGCTGTTGCTTCAACATTGCTGCCTCTCTTTGCCAGAACTAGCGAGTTAAGACCACAAAATTTTTGTCAATAGGGCTCAGTAATCAAGTGCATGTATACTAGCTCTCTCCTGCTTGAATTCAGGGGCAGTGAAATGAGATGACAGTTTTACATGGTGAAGAAAACTGACTAGTTTCTTGTAGCAAAAGTAACCCATCAAAGCTTAGTGCATCGATCCTTGGTTAAAGAAATGAGAAGCTGAAACGGAAGGAAGGAATTGAATAGCACCTTGACTTCAGAAGTGGGATTCCCCAGTACATTGTTGTGCTCCTCTTTAGTCTTTTGGTATCTTTCGATTACGGATTTCATGCTGCAAAAAAAGTAGTAAAGACGAGTAGGATCAGCGCGGTAATTAGATACCAATTAATTTCCCTTTGTTTCACCTTCTCACTTAGCTTGCATTATATATTGCAGGGCGAATTAGCTAGGTTGAGCACACCTACTTTTTGCATGTGCATGCATAGAACCGTGCGTTTGCATGTTAAAAAGTGCCCTAAAGAGAATTACCTGGCGTCTAAGAAAAGAAACCCTACTTTACCAGAAACACCCGGCCATAAGTTTTTTGCTCACTAAAAGTCAAGAATAATTTTGCTTTGTCATATGGTTTTGTGATCTAGGTATGAAATAGGAAAGCCGATGCATTCTGGGCAGGTCAAATTGTCCAGAAAACGGACCCAGTTCATGCTTTGTCATCAATTGTTTCACTAATGAATGAGTGCGCTAATTCGTCCAAAAATAAAATAAAAACAGATGAGACTAATTAAGTTATTATATTATTATATATGGAACTTATGTCTAGAAAGAGATCTTTGGCTACATATATATATAACGAGAAACCAGTTTTTACCTAGCTAGCTAATTGGCTCTTGGGCATCGGATATGCCGAGAAAAATTAAACCACAGATTTGGGAAAAGAAGAAAAGCCAGCGAAGGTTCATTATAGTAATTTTGATGCAGAGGGAGCTTGTTAGAAGCTAAGCAGCTTACTCACATTGAAAAGGTGTTAAATTTTTTATATTCAAAATACCACGTATACAAAATAACTAATTCAAACGAACTATTAAGCATACTCATGCAAGGGCTATAGGAACTCCAATTCAGCAAATAATTTGAGTGTTGTGGAAACTAAGAATGTGCAGCAAGCGTTGGAAGCTGGAAAAATGGAGTGCAGCAATGCAAGAAGAACATTTTCCCCCAGCGATAGTAAAAAAGAGCACTTGAGAATTAATTAGTTAGTAGATCATTGTGGAGCTGTCAGTTGGAGAAATATTGGGTTTTAGAATCAAGCTTGATTACGATGATGGCAATGCTGAAGAATCTGAAAGCAAGGTTGGTAGACAAAGGATAGACTCAGCAATATGGTTCAGAGATTATAATGACATCCTTGCCCAGTAGAAAGGATGGATACATCATACTTCTTTTGGGTGGTGAGGGTCTCAGAAGCTTTAGATTTTGGCTAACTGATTGTTAGAAACCCACTTTCTATGGCTTCTAGGGACTGATCTTCGGCACCTGTATGACTCGGAATAAGTAAGGATTGGGATTAAGAAACTAGGTATTTAGAGATGGAACTGGGAATTAGGGATTGAAGAACAGAATTGGGGAAGAGCTAGGGAGAATGGCTGGCGGCCTTTGGGAGAGAAGTAGATGATATTTGAGAAGGTTTCGGAGAGATTAGAGTTGAGAAACTATTCTTAATATTCTTCTTGGTTGATTATGAGTGAGACCCAAAAATACATATTTATAGAAAAAACACGAGAAAACCCTAATAATAATCCTAGTTGAACCCAAATACTAATAAACCTAATAATAATTATTCTACTATAATTAATAAGAGAAACCCCAAAAAGTGGGTTTCTAACACTGATCCAAGTTAAGGTGTAGGGATGGCAATTTGAACCCGCCCCGCCGGGTATTATCCGACCTGATCCGTGATGGGGCGGATATTACCCGACCCACAGTAGCATGGGATGGGGCATGAGTATCTACTTCTGACCCGCCCCGCCACATTCGGCCCATTCTATCTCAATTTCTTAACGTATCTATTCATATTTTTTTTATTTTGCCTTTTGTTCAACTAGTTAGGTTTGATATTTAACTGGTTAGATTCCATTACCCACACTATTCTCAATTTCTAAAGTGTTTTTCCTTTCATTTTATTGTGAAAAGTTAAATTTTACGTGTATTTTTATCAAATAACATGTCAAAGTGGATCGACCGACCCCGTACATGCACGTGTATTGTCTGCCCCAACCCGTAGTAATATGGGGCGGGACATGAATATTGAGGTACCCGCTCCGCCCTTGCCATCACTATCAAGGTGGAAGGGTGAATAGCTACATGTGAATCTTGCTTTTCTGATTCATTGGGTTACGCTAACGCTATATGTGTTAGACACAAAATTGTTAAGATGTGGCGATTCTATATTTTCATGGGAATAGGGGTGTCAGTTCGGGTCGGGTTGGGTTACCTGAACCGAAACCCGAAAAAATCCGAAAACTCGAAACCGAAAATCACTAAAACCGAACCCGAACCTGATAAGAACTTGTGGGTTCCGGTTACCCGAAACCCGAAAATTCCTTATCGGGTTCGGGTTCGGTTAAAGCAAAACCGAAACCCGAAAACCCGAATGCCTAAGAATGCGGACTGAGTTTTATTCATTGGAGGTTTTTAGACGAAACCCGAAAAACCGATAAGCAAAACCGAACCCGAAACCGAAAAACCCGAAACCCGAAATGAACCCGAACCCGAAAACCCGAAAATGTATATAATCGGGTCGGTTTCGGGTAAACCCGAAAAACCGAACCCGAATGGACACCCCTACATGGGAATGATCTTTTGGTTTGTAGTAGTAATGATTGGACTAAAATATTAACGAGTTAAAGGCAACATGTTTAGTGAGCTTGATAGGGATGATCTAGGTTTGATGGCTTACACGATCTAGAGTATAGAGGCGGATATATAAAGTGTAATTGAGATCTTCTTCAATCAAATGAAGAAGTGTACTATCCTATAGAAGTGCTAAAAGAAGCCTAGCAATTAGGGACAATTCAAACTTAGCTGCTGCAACAGTACCATTGTTGTAAAGGTGCAATTGGTTAAGAAAGATGGATTTGACAGGCGGCTGTAAAGCTTGAAAGAAGATGGCTTTTGGATTGAAGTTAGGTGAAGAAGTGAGATCCACAAGCTGAGATAAAAATACGTGATAGAAGTATATATTACACCTAAATTAGAAATTTTACAATGCTATATAGTATTGGTGTTATAGGTTTTTGTCTTTATGGTACAACTTAAAATTGTACATTTATGTTATGGTACAATTTCAGATTGTACCTATACTTTTTGTACAAATTCTTTTATGGTACAACTTGAACTTGTACCTTTATGTGATGGTACAACTTCAAGTTGTAAAATTGAACCATAACATAATAGTGCTTTATGGTACAACCTAAACTTATAAATTTAATGTTATGGTACAACTTTGAGTTGTACATTAAAGCACCAATACTATATAACATAGTAGAAGTGCTCTGCAACTATTATGTTTATTTTGTTTTATTATCATTTATGTATTTAGCAACTGTAAAATTAGGTCGTTGGTTTGATTTTATAATTATTACAGTTAGTTTTGTTTTTCTTATAATAGAAGTTTTATTTTGTTGTCATTAAGATACTACTTAAAGGATTCGAATATGAACCTCTAGGTTTTAGGATAGTGGTATTACCATTAGGGCAAACCCTTATTCGTAACAGTTGGCCGAGTAGGGTAAGTGTGACTTAGGGTTTTTGTTGGTTAGGTCTTTAGGGTTTCGATATTTTCATCTATTGCATTTAAATAATTTGTTTCAATTATTAAGGAATAAATAAATCAAGAGAGTCACGTCAATCACATATTCTAATAATTACAATTCTGCATAAATCTCACACACTTTCTGTCAATTCTTAATTCTCTCCTAAGCTCAGTTCCAATTTCTTATTTATGTCTTTATTGACCTTTTCCCATCCAAATCTTTTCCAAATTTACATATTACTTGTCACTAATTGAATATTAAGATCCTATTCAATCACCTCGTTACATCTGTGCGGAACCTTTGAGAACATTATTATTTTCAGAGTTGCATGACATTTCGTTTTATGTTAAGAACCGTTTGTTCAAGCACATCTGCCATATTGCCTCTTCCCCGCTACTTGTTACCCTCTCCTTCTCTCAAGAGTGTATATGGTTATTCTGTTTTCTTATTTCTGCACCACTCACCAGACTTTATCTGATGAGTTGGGGCTTAAGATATGTCCTACACATGACAATTTAAATTCATTCTGCTGAATATTATCTAATTTGTGTTCAGCGTATAACAAAAATGATTAATATTAGAGGTCATTTGGATGGAGTATTCAGTGAGTTATTTGAGTTTAAATAACTTACAGTGAGTTATTTGGACACAAATAACACGTATGACATTATGTTACTGAAATGAGTTATTTGACAGTGAGTTATTTGAAATAACTCCTACCCCTGTGTTATTTCGAAATAACTCGTTTTATCACTCCACTTTTGCCAAATACCACATTTGCATGGTTCTACCAAACGAGATATTTTAATCCAATTACCACTAAAATAACACCGAAATATCACATGAACAGAAAAAAAAAGTTATTTGACAACAAATACCACACTTCAACAAATAATTCATCCAACCTACTTTTAACAAAACATGATTGGTTAATCTGGTTACCATTGACTCCCTTGATCCGCCCTACAAACCAAATAAACGTAATGAAAGTTGCCGACTTTAATTTGTCGATTGAAACTTCATTTATAGAGTCTTGAAAAACATGGGTTTCCGAAATCAATTTACTGATTGGACTAAGATGTGTGTTAGTTTTCCCATGAGTGTTTGTTTTAATGGTGGCTTAGTCGGATATTTCCTTGCTTCCAAGGGGTTTAGGCAAGGTTGTCCCTTCTCTCCTTATTTTTTTACTATTGCAATGGAAAATTTCACTTACTTGCTAGATAGAGCTGCTCAGAAAGGGTTGTTTCCTGCTCATCCTATGTCCATATATGCTTTGTGGATGATTTTTTAGCTTCACTAAAACGTCATATTATTCTTTTCAAAGCTTACACAAAAAGTCTCAACCAATTTAAGATTATGTTTGGGCAGAAATCTAAACCTAGAAAGTGTGAGATATTCTTTGGAGGTCTGTTCCAATTATAACAAAAGATTAGGGCTGAGAGATATGGTTATCAATTGGGAAAATTCTCTGTTAGGTACCTAGGGGCATAGTTATTAAATACAACGTTTAATACACATA